TATCTCATATATTTGAGACTGACTTCTGGAAGGACAACCAAATCCTCCCACAAACTGCCTCTTGGGAAGACAGCAAAACCTGTGTGACCTGGATCACCAAGTGTAGGTGAGCATGGCTTCCTGTCACATATTATAATGTAGCCCAATATGGTATCTAGAAATGTCTTTGCTGATTATTTTTCTTCATGTTGCTGATTGCACGGCTCATGTGTTTTCCATTTACCAGATCACACATGGTTCTCCTGAGTTGGCTATCACTAAAGACAATAAGCCCCAAACATTCTGGCTTGGCTCTCTCCCCTTGCTGTTTTTTGCCCCCAAATCTTCTCACTTTCTCTTGTTTATAATCTTAGATTTGTAGAACTGAAAGGGATCAGAGAGGTTATTGAGTCCATAGGAGCATCAGAGATTTAGAGCTGGAAGGGACTGCAGAGGTCACCCACTCATTTTACAGATGAGGAAACTGAGGTAGAAAGTGTCAGTGCTGGAACCAGAACCCAGGTTCTATGACTCCAAATTCAGGATTCTTTCAACTAGACCACATTGCTTTTCTAGGCCCTTTATTTCAAGAATAGGAATTAGATTCCTAATAGGGATCTGAAATAGAGATTTCATTGACATAGGGACCTCCTTTGACCAATGCAAGTTGGCATCTTTTCTGCAATTTAATCTTAGAGTAGAAAAGTTAGGTGCTTTGCCCAGGATCACAAAACTAGGAAGTGTCAGAGGAAGGATTTGAATCCAAGTCTTCCTGGGTCTGAGACCAATTCTCTATCCACTATGCCAAGCTGTCTCCTGCATCCTGCTTCCTCCCACCTCATTTTACAGAGAAGGAAACTGGAGCTTGCTGAAATTCACAAGATAGATGGACCAAAACAGATACAAGTTGAGAATTCGGGTCGCCTGTCTCTAAGTCAAAGACTATTCTAGGGGTCATTTCTATTTATTTGAAGTTATCATACCCTGGGGCTCTAGGGATGGTGCCTTTGAACTAGGAACCGTTAGGTCCTTCAGCTGCCAGGTTAGTCCTATATTAGACAGAGGTAAACATGAAGACCTATCAAATCTCAACTTTCTTTTCCTGGCTCCTTTGGAGACTTAAATAAATAGAGACAAATAAACAAAAAATTTAATAGGTCCAACTACCCGCCTTCCAATGAGCTAGAATGTAACCACAGCTCTTAAAATCCTCTATGCCAGTTGAATACCACTCAGCTGGCATAAACACTAATATTGGCCCAACAATTGAGTAAAAACAAATGATCCAAGTAGTTTTTTAATTAGCTATATATAGTGCATTATCTTTTTTTGTTTTAAGATGTGTGAACGTTAAAACAGGGCTCTCAAAAAAGCTCTGCCAAGACTTGTCAATTGTACCTCCACCACATCTCTCCTATCTGTCTTTCCAACCAACAGAGCCACCCTTTTATTACTAAATCAGGCCTTCAACTCCTCTCCCTCGGGCTACTTGAACAGAATCCTATTTAGTCTCCTTTGCTTCCACCATCTCCCATCTCTAATCCATCCCCCACACAGCAGCTAAAATAATTTTCCTATGGCTTAGATGAGATTATTTAATTCCCCAGCTCAAACATGCTTAGCACAGTGCTTGACACATAGTATGAGCTTAATAAATGCTTACTGACTGACCAAAAAGCCTTCAGGAACTCTCTACTGGCCCTAGTATAAAATATAAACTCCTCAGCCTAATAGTAAATGTTCTCTGTATAAAGGCTATGGCTTACCTTTCTAGATTTCTGCACGTCCTCCCCACCTCTACTTCCCTTGTCTTCCTCCAAGGCTCAGGGCAGATGCCCCTTCCAACATGAAGCATTCTTAGTGACCCCAACTTGGTTAGAGCTATCTCCTTTCTATTTACTTTTCCTTCTTGGTTCCACATCCTCCAATGGAAATGGCTTTAGATCCCCGCCGCACCCCCCCCCCAATTTCTCAGGGGTAAGACATGGCTTCATTTTTGTTTTCTTTTCCCAGCACCTTTGTTTGTCACACCGTAGGCACTTAAAAGTCTATCAAATTGAACCAAAGATGTATTAGCTTAGATCAAATGAATCTAGAAACTGGTCATAGTTATTTTTCAAAGCTCTGCAATAGAGATGTTTAAAAAAATACATATAAATGATCATATTTGCATGGATTAATGACTCCGGAAGGCTTTAGAGCAGCCCTCTTTCTCTTCTGCTACCACCGTTCTACTTTGGATTCTTTTGTTTTCAGGTTCTCCTGGTTTCTCTTCTAGGATTTTAAGACTTGACCAATGGTATCATTTTCATCAGAGTTGGGGTGAATTCCCATTCATTCCTATTACCTCCCTTGACCTCAGTTTCCTTATTTGCAAAGTGAAGGGATTGGACTGGATGATTTCTAGGGTCCTTTTCCATCTCTAAATCCACATTCTCATAACTTAGATCTAGAAATGGCCTCAGATTTGTACCCCTCCCCCACAACTTACATCTCTACCCTCAAGGAATATGGCAAACTTCAGGTCATAAAACCAGTTCCTTGATACTTCTGGATTTCTGATCCTGCTTAGAACCAGCCACCTTTCTGGTGACAATAGTCCGTCCATTAAAAAGAAAGAGCATAATTTCCAACATGCCCATAGTAAACAGTGTAATGTTCTGGGGCGCAAAGTCCAAAATAGTACAAATAGTATAAAAAGTTTTACTCACTATTTGTAGATAGAGCACAGCCGCCATCTCTTAGATATGGCGTGAAAAGTTGGCAGGCAGAGCCCAAGGGTTTGTCTATTTATTTATCGTTTTATGACAAACCACAGCGCTGAGAATGGTTTTTGTGAAAGCTGCCCTCTGTTTGTTTTCATCCACAAACATGGAATCATGTGACAGTGATACACCTTATGTGAATATCACTCCACGGTAATAGTCAAACATGAGGCACTTCCAAAGTCCAGCCAGTTATCAAATTGCCATTCATGGAACACAACACCAAAGTTCATCTATTAGTTCCCCTGACTGCCAGAGTTCAGGGCAACTTCTGCTAATGGGTCAAGCTATTGGAGGAAACTTGAGTTGTCCTCACAGGTGACCACTTCCTCTGTGCACTTGAAAGAAGGTGCTGGAGGGACAGCTTCCTCCTAAACATCTGTCCTACTGGAATGCTATGGAGTAGCTCTCTCCTTTGCTTAAAATTTACAGCAGCAAAGCACTCAGTTAGACATCAGAAGTGGGCACATTATACTCAAAATGCCAATCTTAAAATATAGTTTCCCTGTTCCCTAAAAGGATAGGGCAACCCTTTTTTCTAGCTCTTTGACACATTTATTTATCAGATTAGCCAATCAGAATCATTTTGAATCATGTACAATAGGGGGAAGTTCTTAATACTTTTGATGTCATGGGCCCTTTTGTCAGTCGGTTGAAACCAATGCACCCTTCCTAACAAAATACGTTTTTAAATGCATAAAATGAAATAAATAGGATTATAAAAGAAACCAATTATATTGAAATGCAGTAATCTATATCTATATCTATAAATAAACCTCGAAGTTCATGGCCTCCAGGTTAAGAACTCCTGATCTGGGAGATGATGCAACAGAACGTCTAAGGGTATGGGATAGTGCTTCTTAAGGCAGGAACTCAAGGAAAAGCTAGATGACCACCTATAGGGAGTCTTCTGGGGAGAGATGCCTGCAATCCCTAGAGATGCCTTCTAATTTCCTCCTCCAACTCCAAAATTCTATAACGGTTCTGATTTCTACAGCTTGAAAATTGAAAAAGTGCTTTGCTCCCAGCGGGCCAATAAAGGGAGCACCCCCATTTCATGAATGTTGAAACCCAGGTTCAGAGCAGTAAGGTGACAGCGATGTCATTACGCAGCCAGAAAGCAGCAGAGCCTGGATGGGAGCCCAGGTGTCCTGACACCAAGTCCAGTGTTCTTTCCTATACACAATGACATAAGTGTATTGGAATATACTTATGTTCTTTCCAATACACTCATGACAAAAGACCCAGCAGTTTTGATTTGGGGTAGAGGACAAAGAAGAGGTCAGGGCAGAAGTATAAGTAAGAATGTAACCTAGGTGACCTAGGGCCAGGTTTGGACTCTGGCCCAAGCAGGAGAAGCTGGGGTTGCTTTGTATGCCGCAGGGAAAATGCTAAAAAACAAACCTTGCCCATGTCACAAATTTGCTCGAGGTAGTAACTGAGCAAATGTGCACAGGACAGAGGAGTAATTCAGTGTAATTTTGAATCCCAATCAATCAATAGGTACTTTTATATGAATACTTGACTGCATTTGCTGAGAACCAGCCTAGTGTCACAGAAAGAACACTGGATGTGAAATCAGAGGAACTGTGTTCAAATTCTAATTCTACCCTGGATTACCTGGATTATCTTGGACTAGGCATTCCCCTCTCTTGGTTTTGGTTGCAATATTCATGAAATGAGGGCTGGATTAGATGATCTAGAGAAAGATTCCATTTATCTCCAGGTTATAGGATCTCAGGATCATAGCTTCAGAGGTCATCTGGAATATTCTCTCATTTTACAAATGGGGAAACTGAGGCCCAGAGAGATAAGGTAATTTGTCCAAGTTTATACGGGTTATAAACAGCAAAGCTGTGATACAAACCCTGCTCTGATTCCCAATTCAGCTGTACCACTCTTATCCCTGTGACTGGTTAGATCTCCTCATAATAGGGGGAAAAAAAGTCCAGAACTGATAGGGATATTATCAACAGGATCTCTTAAAAGGGGTCATGACCATCAACGAGAAAGCAAGCAATAATGTCAATTTTAAAAATGGCCCCTTTGAGACAGTCACTTTAATTTCCCTCCCTCCTCCTGGGGCTTTGGGTTATGGGAGCATGCTTCTCTTGTCCTGGCCTGAGAAGCAGCAATGATCTCAGTCCCAACAGGGTGTGTAGTGGGATTCAAATAGCTTCACCACACCAGCTATAACCACTTTGTGATCTCCACCCTCTAAGGAGCCCTGACTTCTGCAAATTGTTTCCTCTCTAGGCAGCAATCTCTACTTTCATAAGTCCTGGCCAAAAGATAACAGAACAGCACCCTGGAGATAGACTCGACCAAAAGAACAACATGATTGTGTCAATAAAGAATGAACTGCTAGTCTTTTTGGAAATTACTTTCTGGTTTTCCTCTCCCATTTTCCTCCCTTTGCAACAACTTCATTCTCCTGCAGCCTAATTTGATTTTGTAGGATAGCAAGAAAGCAAGATGCCGAACAGCTTGACTTCAGCCTTGGCCATCTGGGGAATATGCTTTCTGAGTTTCGGATTGCCTTCCTCCTGCTTCCACAACCTCCACTCTTGCGAGCTCTTCCGTCCTAAGGGGAGTTTGGTCTACAGAGGCCAAGGGCTCCTCCGCTTGGCTCCTACAATTTCCAAGGGGTAATAGTTTTCAGCTTTTGCCATGAAAAGAGAAGCTCCCAATGGGTCATTATTATCTCAAATTGTCTGCAGTGCTTCATCGCGAAGGGATTTACCTGAAGTGAGTTTTAAAAATGAAATGAGATGGGCCTGGTTTATGTAACCCTCAGAAATGTCTAGGAGAGCTGGGGAGCAGCTAGTTGTGTTAACTGAAATTCTAGATGCCTGAGCAAGTTTCAAGAATAATAATAAATGGCATATATCTAGTTCTTCAAGGTTTGGAAAGTACTTTACATATATGATAACCCTGTGAAGTAAGTCCTACAATTAATATTATTCCAATTTTACAGATGAGGAAACCGAGGTTCAAAGAAGAGGCAACATTTGGAGCAGTAGATGAAGCTAGAATCAACAAGACCTGAGTTCAAATCCTTCCTCAGACACTTATTAATTGTGTGACCCTGGGCAAGTCACTTAATCTCTGATTGCCCTAATTTCCTCATCTGTAAAATGGGGGTAATAATAGCACCTACCTCCCAGGGTTGCTGCGAAGATAAAATGAGATATTTGTAAAGTTTTTTATGCAAGCCTTAAAGTGCTATATAAATACTAGCTATTATATAAGTTAAGTAGCTGATCCAGGATCACATGATGAGTAAGTAAGTATCTATGGTAGGATTCAAACCCAGCTCCTCCTGACTCCTAGTATAGCTCTGACCCCTCCATCATGGTGCATTCCCTAGCGTTGCTACCACCACTTTCACACCTGTCACTCTTCCAGAAGCTGTAGACTCTCTCTGACTGTAGATGGGGGTCAGTAGGCCTGGGATGGGAGGCAATTGAAGAGGCTGGGGCTTCTGGAAGCCAGCCTGGCCCTAGACAAGTCTAGAAAGCAATGGAGTGGTTTTTTTTTTTCCTACTTCCCCATTGAGCATCCTTCATCCTGTTTCTTGTCCTCCACCCTTGACCCTTTTACAATCATTGAGCTATGATAACTTCATTTAAGGCAGCAAAATTATATCTTATTGGGCATGTAAATGTTTTCATAGGAAAACCCTTCTAGTTCCAAAGGATCTCTAATCTCTAATGGTGGAATTTCAGGCACTGTGACAGGTGGTAGGTAAAAGGATTTTCAATATAGGGCCTACCTAATGTATTTCAGATAACAACACTAGGTTCTTGGCTGGCTGGTCAGTGTGAGCTGGCCCTTCTAGATGTCTAATATGGCGGGAGAAAGAGGAAGAAAAAGGACAAAGGGATGTGGGGATAGAAGTTATGGATGGGATAAGGCGGAAAACAAAGAAGTGTAAAACGTTTGGTCAGCTCACATCCCTAAGTCCTAATTCTATTGTATCCTTTCTGTGTATTTTCCTCCTCTTCCCTAGCCAGGCACCAAAAGATATCAGACTTAACTTATCTACTGCCTTTTCTCTTAATAATGACTTTTGGAACTTGAATTCAATTTCCTTTGAGTAGAGCCTGGGAAGCAGCCAATACTTGGTTAATCAGCCTTTCTCCCCCTATCATGGTCAGACAGTAGAACTCTCAGATATCTATTTCTGTATCTTTTTTTAAAAATCATAGTATATCCTTTAACAAAGCTACATTTTTGGTTAAACAAATGATCACTTGATTTATTTGTGCTGTAAATTTAATATTTCCCATGGATTGGTTGTGCCAGTCCGATTCTACCACCAGCACTGGGGGAAGCCAACATTCAGTCCAGCCTATACCCATCATTGCTGCTAAGTCAACTACATGGAAATGCACATCCATTCTGAAAGAGGTTGAAGTCAATGGGGTAGCTGTGCCTCAGTTAATTTCATGCAGGTAGGCCCAATCTTGTTGTCACTTCTACGCTGAAATCTTGTACTTACCAAGGTCAGTTTATCCACATCCTGGGTTACTCCCTCAGTGAGATCAAGGAAGCTGTAGAAGAAACTACTTCTTGGCCTTGCTTCCCTTGATACATATTTCTAGGCACACTTGGACCGAACAAATTCTGCTTTTCCATGAGGCATCACACCAATAAGGAATCGTCAGGAAATTTTCCCAATGTATGGCTCTCTCTCTCTTTGTTTGGTTTTTTTTTTGGAGGCAATTGGGGTTAAGTGACTTGCCCAAGGTCACACAGCTAGTAAGTGTCAAGTGTTTGAGGCCAGATTTGAACTCAGGTCCTCCTGACTTCAGGGCAGATGCTCTGTCCACTGCACCACCTACTTGCCCCACGGCTCTCTTTTTAAACACATCTTCCTGGTTCACTTCTAGATGCTCAAAAAGGAGCTGAATCAGTCCATTCTCATAAGATTATCATAGTCTTTTTCTAGGTGAGTTCAATGGATTCCCTGCAAGCATTTCTGCTCCCATTATGGCTACATAGAACGCTGGGGGGCCCTCGTCATTAGCCAGCCTTGCCCCTGAAGCTGCAGCTAAAGAATAACAGCCCCAAACCCAAACACGTCAGAGACTTTTATCCCAATGGCCCGGATGCTTAAATGTGATGTCCAAGGAGCCTGAGTTTGGCTCGGGCTCAGTTGTGCCATGAAATAACCAAATGTAAATGAACATGGGTTTTGATCACACCTGACCCACCCCCTCCCCCTTCCTACATACCAGAGCGGATCAGCACTGACCCATTTACCTATTCAATCTGGTCAACCCAACCGCTCGTTTTGTCTTTCAGCAAAATGACCTTATGATTACAAGTTACTTTTCCCTTGAAGATGACTTCTGGTTTGAGCCAATTCTTATTATTCAATTTCCTCATCTGTAAAATGAGGGGCCTGAACTATATGATCTCTAAGGGTCCTTTCCTTAGGGGCAGTTATGTGGAACAGTGGATAAAATGCGGGGCCTGGAATCAGGAAGACCTCAATTTAAATCTGGCCTCAGACACTAGCTATGTGACCCTGGACAAGTTATCTAACCCTGTTTGCCTCAGTTTCCTCATCTGTAAAATGAAGGGTCTGAACTATATGATCCCTAAGAGTCCTTTCCTTAGGAGCAGTTAGATGGAACAGTAGACAAAGTGCAGGGTCTAACTTAAATCTGGCCTCAGGCAGTAGCTATGTGACCCTAGACAAGTCACTTAACCCTGTTTGCCTCAGTTTCCTCATCTGTAAAATGAGCTGGAGAAGGAAATGGCCAACTATTCCAGATCTTTGCCAACAAAACCCGAAACGGGGCCACAAAGAGTCAGACACAACAAAAAATGGCTGAACAACAATGAAAGGGTCCTTCCAGACCCGTAGGGTTTCAGCATCTATACCTGAAGGGGGCTGTAAAGAAAGGACAACATCTGATAGTGCAATACCCATACTTTACTAACGAATAAACAAGAACCTAGAGAACCTAAGAGTGTTGCTGAAGGTCACAGAGCTTATCAGTAGCAGAGCCAGGTTTCAAAGCAGATGATTCCAAATGCAGCCTACTGTCTATTATGCCATGGTGTCTCTATGGTTCCAAGTTCTAGGCTCCCGGCTCTAATCAGGCTCAAGGAGCTATGCCTGCTGGATACTTATTTTCATGAGCAGCCTAAGGAGATGTACTAAAAAAATGTCTTATATTACCCACTAAGATAAAGTAATAACTCTTATTTATATAGTGCTTTACATAGTTTTTATTTAAGCCTCCAAACATATCTATCTAAACATATATCTGTATCTATATATCTATATCCATATCTATCATCTATCTATCTATCTATCTATCTATCTATCTATCTATCTATCTATCTAAAATCCCCATTTGATAGATGATGAAACTGAGGCTCAGAGATATTAAAAGAATGCTCAGGGTCACGTAGTATATAAGTGGTGTTTATCCAGGGTTCAAATCTAAGGCTTCCGTTCTCCAAGTCCAGCCTCCCCCCATCCCTTCCCTTTTCCTTCACTATACCACTGCCCTACCTAAGCTAGAAATGCCTGGGTCCACTGGAAGCTGACGGTTAAAAAGAAATGGCTTAAAGAGAGTCACCTAAAAATGCCAGTTTTTGGTGGAGATGCTTCATGGTATTCCCCTGTTTGAGCATTACCCAGCATGTGGATACCATTCTAGGGCTCTGCCTTAGCTGTTCTCTAGTTTCTAATTAGACACTGAGGTAGCTTGTTAGCCCTCTTTGAGGCCCTATGACATTGCTGAGTACAGTATCGCTGTAGGAAGATAAAGTGCATCTTTGCTCTGCTAGGATGTGTTTAGCACAGTTTGTTCAATGGAATTGAATTGAATGTTGGCTGGCTCCTTGTTATCCCCAGGAAGCAGTTTTGCCTCTTGGAGAATCTTACTTAATCACCATTTTCCTCTTGCTCATTAAAGGTGTTTCATCCTGGGTTATCAAGTCAATGAGAAAGTGAGTCTTTCTGGTGATTGGAAATGTTGCAATGGCCCAAGGCACATAGGTCAAAGTCTGTAGACTGCCATGGAAAGTTAGCACAAGGAGAGATCTCAGATAACCAACTCAAGATGGCAAGGAGGGAAAAGCCATTGCTCTGGAGTTGGAGGATCTGGGCTCCTTTGTCACTTTCTACCCATGTGACCCTAACGTCACTGAGCCTTGGTTTCTCCATTTGTAAAATGAAGGAGTTATACTCAATGACCACTGATGTCCCTCCCAGCCCGAAATCTATGATCTTATAAATACAACCCCTGCATTTTACAGATGAGGAAACTGAGGCCCAGAAAGGAGATATGATTTGTTTAAGATCATAAGCTAGATGGTAGTAGTCCTGGGACTAGAACTCAGGAATCATTAACTTGCTAGTCAAGCTACCAAATTCCATGTTCCCAGCCTCCAAAAATTAATGCCTTTTCCTAATAGCTTTCCGCCTTCAAGTCCTCCAGACATAATTGATGAAGCACCCCAAGGAATGGATAGTAGCGCAAAAGTTGGGATGCATTCTTACATTTCATTTTACATTTTATGTTGGGCCACTCCAGGAGTTTTCCTGAGAGGCACGAGAGTTGCGTGCCTTAAAAAAAATTGTTGGTATCTCTCATTTTTACATCAACTACATTTCCCAATATCTCTGCCTCTCAGGGAGCTATTCTTTATATACACGTCCTTAAAATATAGCAATTCTTTTTTTATATCGTTGCTACTATCCAAGGATTGCCTCTTTTCCAATGAACACCCTTCCATGTAATGAGAATAATTAAGCAAAATGAATCGATGTATTTGCCCCGTCTGACAACATATGCCTCATTCTGTACCTGTGGTCCACCACCTCTCTGTGGGGGGAGGAAGGGATATCCGATGCCTTTCCAGGGCTCTTGCTCAGGTGTTCCTGCTTAAAGGGATGTTGTGGCTAAGTCTTTTGTCTTCAGGAAAAGGGATGACCATATACCCCAACTGAAGAAGAGGGGTGGCAGGATGAGGGGACTGGGATTATTTCCTTAAGGTTATGCTGGCCTATGAATGCTAGAGGTCTATTCCCAATGATTTTATTAGGTGAGCTTGGATTTCCCCCTCCCCTTTTCTGCGTGTTTACTTACCCTATCTAAAAACATTTCCTGTGTTCAGACTCTGCTTGAAATATGTAACAGCCAAGAGCAGAAGGGTATTGTGTGTGTGTGTGTGTGTGTGTGTGTGTGTGTGTGTGTGTGAACATGGTAAATCATTTACTCAAAGGAAAGAGAAAAACCGCCCGCCCCACCAATGAAGATAGCAAAAAAGAACTAACTGATTTGTCTGTCGTCTTTCCTGTCAAGATCGCCCTCGCCTTGGCTTTGGTCAGAGGGAAGGACTTTATGTATGAGTCATACAGATGTTTTGCCAGGGCCCGGAGATCAGCAGACTCTGGGTTCAGCTGGTCGATATCACTGGAGATCTCAGCCAGCAGCTTCTCCTTTTCGGCCTGTGGCATCCGCCCAAACCTGATCGCTGCAGAGGAAGAAGGAATGTCAGAATGAATCATTGTGTTCCTGGTGTTCATAATGTTCTCCTCTCCCAGTCCTCATAAACTGCCCCCCTCCCCAAAATCTGGGGCTCTGGTTTCTTTCAATGGCCTTTCCAGAATTGCTATTTCACTGGAGTGCCACAAACAATAAATAATGATCAATTATTGGATTCATTAACTGTAAAAGAAAATACACATGCATATATATATGTAGATACATATGTATGTAGTATATATATGTATATATAAACATTCTGTATTTTTCAGTTAATGAATCCAATAATTGATTGTTATTGTATATGTATATATATATATATATATATATATATATATATATATATATACACATACATATATATATATGCACTATACATAGGGAAAGAGAAAATCATACAAAGAGACAGAAAGGCAAAGGAAGGGAGTGAGAGAAAGAGAGAGACAGAGAGACAGAAAGAAAGGAGAGACCACAAAAGAAGGAAAACAGGAATTTATTCTTTTGCAGAATCCAGATTTAGAAGGGAGCTTGGAGACAATGTAGTCTAACTCCCTGACTTTGCTGAGGATGGGTCTGAGGTCCAGACAAGGGCACTGACATGCCCAAGATCACAGACATCAGAAGCAGACTAGGAGTTGAACCAGTGACTGACTCCAAACCCAATGCTCTTTCCACTATGTGATTTTACCTTGAGGGTCAAAGACAAACTCCTCTGTTTGGTGTTTAACATCTTTCACTCTTCAGCTCCTCTCTACTCTTCTGGCCTTATTACACCCCCTCCTTTTACACACACTCTGTCCAATCCAGCCAAAGGGGCCTTCTCACCGCTCCTCACACATGGTCCATCTCTAACCTTCACCCCTTTGCTCTCGCTCTCCCAGTGCCTGGAAGGGATTTCTTCCTTGCCTGCACCTCTCAGAATCCTTACTTTCTTTCTGAGTTCATGTCAAATTCCACTTTCTTCACGAGGTTTTTTTCTGATCCGTCCAGGCAATAGTATCTCCCCACCCCAAATTACCTTGAATTTATGTATTTATTTAATACGTATTTTATATATACATGTATGTACATATACACATGCATTCATGTGTACGCATGCGCGTGCGGGCACACACACACACACACACACACACACACACACACACACACACAAATATGTTGTCTCCTACTCTAAAATGTAAGCTTGAAAGCAGAGACTGATTTACTTTGTATCCCTAGAGCCACTGACCAGTGCTTGGAACAGTGTCTTGCACACAGTAGGTTCTTAATAACTTGTGGATTGTCTGATTGATGCTTCTTCTGAATGAATATGGATCGAGTACCAGCTCTGGGCAAGGCACTGTGGTAAGTGCATGTGTGGGACTCAAGTTGTCTAAGACATTGTCTTAAATCTCGACAAAGCTTACAACCCAGAAGGGGAAAGAAGTCCATGGATCGTCACCCACCTATGCAGGCTGGGTTTCTGGGCCGACCACTGAATCCCCTTTGCCTCAAGGACTGTTTCTCTGCTCACATTTGGGCACTGTAACTAGGGTTAAGTAACAGTATATTTTTTCAGGGGCAGGAGGAAGTTTAGAAGAAAGAAAGGAAGAGCCATTTGGGAGGAAGTGGGGGCCTGGGGTAGAGGGAGAATGATCCATTTGTAACCCTTCCAACTTCTGGTACCTTCTTTTCCCATTGTAAGACCTTCCCTTGCACAGCATTTCTTAACTGCTAATTTGGGGGTGCATATTTTGGACCACAACTTGTTCCTATTACAAGAAGATTTGGATCGCTCCTTGATACAACATACTATTAAGCCAAAAATAGCATTTCCATCAAGAATGCCAATAATCTGAGGCATGCGATGACTGCAAAAAGTGGAGGGCTCTAGGGGTCAGGGAGTCTCTGTACTGGTCCCTGGCTCCATCACCGAGGAGCTCCGTGATTTTGGCCATGCAAGGCCTCGGTTTCCTCACATAAGCTGGGGGAAGAAAAGTTCGACTGGATGATTCAGCTCTTATATGCTACAGTTCCCTGCAAAACCATTGCCCAGTGGTTTTCACTACAGAGTTCTCCTAAAGAAAGATCCCCTCTGCATCTTGGAAATGCCAAACCACCATTTTACCTCAAATGTTCAGCACCAGCCAAGCTTGGGCAAGGGTCAATCTTAGTTTCCTCATCAAGAAAATGAAAGAGTTGGGATTAGATAGAACATCCATAAGGCTTCTTCTAGTTCTAAATCCTACTCATCTCATGACAGCTGTTTCTTTTGGAAACCTCCTTCGCATCCACTAAACTCGCAAAAAGAGAAGAGTCAGGAGAAAAGAGAAACTCATCCCATAGCTGATATCACGTCCTAGTCTTCACTGACCTCATTTAGTATTTTCTTGGTAAAGATACTGGAGTGGTTTGCCATTTCCTTCTCCAGATCATTCTATAGATGAGGAAACTGAGGCAAACAGAGGTTAAGTGACTTGCCTAGGGTCACACAGCTAGTAAGTGTCTGAGTTTAAATTTGAACTGTAGGCCTATAGCCCTATTCACTGCGCCCCCTAGCTTCCCTTGAGATCCCTTAAATAAACTTTTTATTTAGACATTTCCTAACATGTCCCCTGCTCATAACTACCTTAAATGTAAATTTATGAACTGACAATTGATAGATATGTATGAATCAACTACTTATTCTCTCTCGCTCTGTTTCTGTTTGATTCCATATGGATGGTAGATAAGTCTTCCTGGGAAGGTAGGGAAATGCCCAATAGGATGCTATAGCCCCAATCTTGATTGTTAGGACATTGGGGAACAGGTCCTACCAAAGTGACAAGTTTCACAAGAGTGAAAAGAAATAAGACTGTAGGAGAAGGCCATGGGGGCTAGAGCTGGAGGTGACCCCAGCGATCATCAAATCCAATTTTCTAATTTCACAGAGGAGGAAACTGAGGCCAAAGAAAAGAAAGTGATGTACTCAATGTCACAGAAGTAATAATAGGAGAACTGGGATTTGAAACGGGATTCTCTGACTCTATATCCTGTTCCTTTTCTTCCCCATTACTACACCTTCCTATGTCTCTGTTGTGGGCAAGATGGCAAGGGAAAACAGCAGAATGTGTTGGGGAAAGAATTTTTCATATTAGGAAAAAAAATAAAAGAAAGCAGTCTTAGAATTGACTTCCAGCCAGGGCTGTGATACAGCAAGTAAATGGTGGTCAGGATGACCCACTATTGGTTATTTCTAGGCCTGTGTTGTGCAACAGAAAGAAATCTCAGCCTTATTAGGTTTCATAATGCTTTGGGTCCAATAGTAGTCTGTGGGATGGCTTGTTTGAGAATAACAGAGAATAACATGTAGAAAAGGAAAAGGTGTCACTAAAATGTCACTAAAGAGGAAATAAATCTGACATGGACTTCTTGAATTTTAGGCCTCAGAGGAATTCTGAGAAACCATCTTGACTAATCTCTGTGTTTTCTAGAAGACAGAGCTAAAACCCAGAGAGGTTAATCAAGTTACCCAAGGTCACACAGCTAATTGTTCATCTTGGACTAAAGCCCAGGTCTCCCGACTCCCAAGGTGCATTCTATTAATCAACATTAGCATCAGCCCAAAACTATAGGTGTTTTACATTTTCTGGGACTGCTTTCATGCTGCTTTCCTAAAACTGATCATTGTTTTGGGATGTATCAGAAAGGTGATGCTTTATTACTTTTTAATTCTGGAATATGAAAGAGCTGCTTTTAACTGCTATAATTCAGCTTTGAACTTTTGAATCTCTGTATGTTGATCTCTCTGAAAAAGACGAAATCTTAGGAAGCTGATTTTCTGACCCATCAGCTTTGGTATGTATCAGTGATAGAATAGGTTATTTGAAAAAAAGACCTGAGAGTTTCATTAGCCTGAAAGCTCCATATTAGTAAAGCATGTGATTTTTTTTTTTTTTACCAAAAAAGCAAATTCAATCTTAGGCTGAATGAAAATGCAGTTCCTCCACTTTCCCCTGCCCTGGTCAGACCACATCTGCAATCCTTGTTCAAGTCTGGACATCACATTGTAGGAAGGACATAGATATACTTGATGTGTGACCATGATGGCAAAAGACCTGTAGATCATTCTATGTGAGGACCGGGTGATGTTAAACAGGAGAAAAGAAGAGTCAGGGTGGAAGTGATAGTTACCTTCAAATATTTGATGGTCTGTCCTATGGAGAGGGATTTGATGTGTCCTGCTGGCCCCAGAAAGAATCACATAAAGTAATAGGTTGAATGTGCAAAGACAGGGATTTTACTTTGATGCCAAGAAAAATTTTCTAACAACTAAAGCTTTTCCCAAGTGGAATGGGCTGCTTCAGAGTTAGTGAGTTTTCCCTTCCCTGGAGGACTTTGAAGAGAGGTTGGAGGACCCCATGTTGGGGAAAAAGTGGAGAGGATTCTTGTTTGAGTGGATAAGGATTGCATGAGATGGTCTGAGGGTCTTTCCAACATGGAGATCCTTCCAAATGCTTAAGCAACAAATTAAGTTCAATTAACTTAATCTTGATCCTACCATTAACTCCTCTATAATCTTAGGCAAGTGTCTTAACATCTTTGGGCTTCAGTTTTCTTGTCTGTTAAATGGTGGGGCTGGGATAGATAATCCTGAACATCGCTTATTATTCTAACAGTCTATGATCTGTGAACCATCTGTAGGTACAATGAATTATGGGTGTCGTTTTTAAGTGTTGCAAGCCCGAAGCCTACTACGGAACAGAGTTATGCATCTTCCTAGAAGGACTGAGTTTGCATCCCAAGTGGAGAGAATTCTGAAATTGCAGGGGAAATGAAAGATTTTTTTTAAACCTATGCATTTAAAACAAAGGCTTTCCTTGAAGATTTGTTACCAGTCCTTTCAAAGAAACAAGATTTCTAGAGGCAAAAAGGCACAAAAGGTGGCCTCCAATGCAAAATATTTGTGCATTTTTTCGAAGAAGTGGGATGATGAATACTTTCCTCCCCCTGCCTCCAACTGTCTCCCCA